CGCGCTGGTCGCGCCGGCTGGTCGCGCCGGTCGCGCCAGTTGCGCCGGTCGCGCCAGCCGTGCCGGTCGCGCCGGTTGCGCCAATCGCGCCGGTTGCGCCGGTGCCCGTCGCGCAGGCCGCGCCGGTCGCCCCGGTTGCGCCAGTTGCGCTGGTCGCGCCGGCCGTGCCGGTCACGCAGATTGCGCCGGTTGCGCCGGTGCCGGTCGCGCCGGTCGCGCCTGTTGCGCTGGTCGCGCCGGTCGCCCGGCAACGCCGGTTGCGCTGGTCGCGCTGGGTGCGCCGGTGCCGGTTGCGCCGGTCGCGCCTTTCGCACTGGTCGCGCCGGTTGCGCCGGTCACGCCAATCGCGCCGGTCGCGCTGGTTGCGCTGGTGCCGGTCGCGCCGGTCGTGCCGGTTGCGCTGGTCGCGCTGGTCGTGCCTGCCACGCCGGTTGCTGGTGCCGGTCGCGCCGGTCGCGCCGGTCGTGCCGGTTACGCCGGTGCGCGCCCGCACTTCCGCAGCTTCGAGCGCGTGAAATTATGCACTAGTTGCGCCCCCGGGCGCGCCTGCGCTCGCAGACGTGGAATCGCGCACCGATGGCAAGTCCTGGCTCGCCCGAATACGCGGAATTGAGCCCTCCCCGGCCTGGGGAACCCGCGCCGTCCCGCGGGTGCGTCCTGCCCACCGCGCGGGCGGCTGTCCCGCTCACGGACGGCCTGTGGGCGCCCTGCTCCCCCTGAGGCCTCCTGCGGCATGGCGACCCGTCCTGCGGGTTCGCTGCCCGCCTAGCCGGCGGCCTCATCCTGGAAGTGCGCTTCCCGCCCTGCGGGATAGCGGCCCGCCGTGCGGGCGCACTGCCCGTGCTGTGGGCGACTACCCGTCCTGCGGGGCGCCTGGGCCCGAAGGCGACGGCACACCTGCGGCAGCCACGGAAACAAACTAAGCACACCTGGGCCGCAGCTGCTGCGAAACGACCCCAATTAGGCCCGAACGCGCCGCCACCTGGGGCAGCCGCGGAAGCGAACTGGGCACACCTGGGCCGCAGCTGCTGTGAAACAAGCGCTGAAGTGGCGATGAGGAGCGGCGGCGAAATTGGCGACGAGGAGCGCCGGCAAGAAGGGACCGAAGGCAAGTGCGGCGACGGGAGGCGCGCAGCGTTGCCAAACCTGGGGCAGCCACAAGAGCGAACAGGGCGCGACAGAAACAGATGTACCATGGGCCCTTGTCGATTGGCAGGAGGATTCTAAAGGTCTTCGCCGCAAGGTAGATTCTGGCGATTCCCTCCTCAGCCTCTCGTCGTCGTCGTGTCGTGCTAGTGTGGTTGCCGTGTGCGGTGCCGTCTGCGCCGTGCTGTGCCTGTGGTGCCGTGCTCATCAGTGCCGTGCGCTGTGAGCGTCGTCTGCCGTGCAGTGTGCCGTGCTGTCTGCCGTGCCGGCAGTCGTGGCGTGCCGTGCCGCGTGGCCGCCCGCGTCCGGGGCGGGGTACCAAGTACCGGCGGCTGAATTGCCCAGGCGGGCTGGCTGCGTCCTGTCGGGCGCAAGGAGGAGACGCTTGCAGCGTGCTCTGGCCCTGTCGGGCCCTTCACGTCCTGTCGGGCGTCGTGCGCTGCGTTGCAGCACGTGAAACTTCGCTGGCAGCTTTCGCTGCGGGGTCACTGCAAGCAAACCCCAGGGCCTCTGCAAAGCAAGCCCCTCTTCGTTGGCAGCTTTCGCTGCGCCCACACATTCGCTGTCGAGTCAACGAGAGGGGATGGAGGGTAACTGATTGATGGATGGTAGAGCGCCCGTTTTGGGCGATGCTGTCCTCCTGGACGATTCGCGGGAAGGCTTACGCACGTTCCCCGCTACTTGCAGCCCTCGGCGGTGGACTGCAGCTCAGCAGAATGGCTGATTAGAGCCAGTCTTGAGAAATCCGCCGGCCTGGACGGCCGACTTGCGAAATCCGACATGGATGAAATCCCGCCGGAATCTGCATCAATTTCTAGCCTCCTGGGCCAGATTTCCACGAGCTGCACCAGAATTGAATTCCGAGTACGCTAGTGAAAAGGCGTCAGCATGGACTTTAGACCACGTGCGCCATTGTACGCAGGGTCTCGGGGTCGGTCGGGGGCGGGCAAACACACCCGCCCCCGTTGTGTGCAGGTGGGGGGTTAGCCAATGCCCCCCCATCAAGGACTAGCTTCTGCCGCCTGCACACATCCGACCCCGAAAACCCCAATTGTGCGAAGCACAACACTCGCGAGGCCCACATAGCACAAACTGCTATCCGCCTTCCACGCGCTGACAGTTTCAGCGCTGACTTCTAGGCGCGGCCGGAATTCGCAGATTCTCGTTCCATGTGCAATTCATGGTGACCGCACCGCTCCGCGGATCCACGCACCGACTGCGCATCTGAGGACGGCATCACAGAATGCGCGACCTGCGCGTCAGAATGCGAATCTGGATTGCCAGGGCCAGAAAGCGCGCAGTTGCGCTGCGAATGCAAGTCAGGCTGGCAGCCAGCCGCCAGGTTCGGCCCAAGTCCGAGAAGAATGCTGGCCCGCTCTTGCCCTGGAAAACTCGCGAGGCAACCAGCTGGAACTGCGCCTAGGGGCCTGGGCAAGGGTCGCGATGCTCTGGAATCCTTCTGGCAACAGCCAAAAACGTCGCCCCTAAATCACGAGGCACGAGTGGTTTGGGGGGCAGTGAAATTTGAGGAGCAGGATTCTTGTCCACTCTTAGCCTCTTGGCTTCCTGGCCTCCTAGCTTCGTGCGTTTGGCTCATGGCCGGTAGCCTCCTACGGAGGCTGCGGAGTTGGAGGGAAGTTCTTGCTCACGCCTGGCCCGTTCAGGGTGCGGTTTCCTTCTCTGCCCGTCTGTCCGTGTCCGTCCGTCCGTGTCCGTCTGTCGTTGGTCACCAGGGGCCTTGTGGACCCTGCGTCAGCACGCGGACGCAGCAGCGCCTGCGGGGTCAGGGGGTGCGCGTGCGCATCGCTTCTCGTGGGGCTGCCGCTGCCGCGGTGCAGGCTGCTCTCGGGTTGGGTTGCTTTCACGCTCCAATGCACCAATGCACCATGCACCAAATCGCGCACAGATTGCGATCGTGCTTGCGCCAGAATCCGGATTGCGATTCTGGGCGCGCCTGCGCCAGTAAACGCAGAATTGCACACAGCTGATTCTGGGCGCGCCTGCGCCAGCACGCGCGGTTTCGCGCTCGGATTGCGATTTTCACCCGGGCCGCAGTCGAAACTCGCCATGGGGTAGCCATGCAAGCGTAATGGGCACACCTGGGCCGCAGCTGCTGCGAAACGAGCACGCCTGGGCCCGACCCGCTGCCACACCCGGGGCAGCCACGCAACGCGTACTGGGCACACCTGGGCCGCAGCCGCTGCGGATTCGCGCTCGGATTGCGATTCTGGGCGGGCCTGCGCCAGCAACCGCGGAATCGCACTCAGATTGCGATTCTGGGCGCGCCGGCGCCCGAACGCGGGAATCGCACTCAGATTGCGATTCTGGGCCCGCCTGCGCTAGTAACCGCGGAATTCCGGGCGCGCCCGCGCCAGAACGCGCGGTTTCGCGCTCTGATCGCGATTCTGGGCGCGCCTGCGCCAGTAACCGCGGAATCGCTCAGATTGCGATCCTGGGCGCGCCTGCGCCAGAACGCGCGGATTCGCGCTCAGTTTGCGATTCTGGGCGCGCGCGCCTCCGACATAGCGCGCGGATTCACACTCAGATTGCGATTCTGGGCGCGCCTGCGACAGAACGCGCGGATTCGCGCTCGGATTGCGATTCTGGGCGCGCCTGCGCCAGTAACGGCGGAATCGCACTCAGATTGCGATTCTGGGCGCGCCTGCAAAACGCGCGGTTTCGCGCTCGGATTGCGATTCTGGGCGCACCTGCGCCAGTAACCACCGAATCGCTCAGATTGCAATCCTGGGCGCGCCTGCGCCAGAACGCGCGGTTTTGCGCCCGGATTGCGATTCTGGGAGTGCCTGCGCCAGTAACCGCGGAGTCGCACTCAGATTGCGATTCTGGGCGCGCCTGCGCCAGGAACCGCGGTTTCGCGCTCGGCTTGCGAATCTAGGCGCGCCTGCGCCAGTCACCGCGGAATCACACTCAGATTGCGATTCTGGGCGCGCCCATAACAGAGCGTGCGGATGCACACTCACATTGCGATTCTGGGCGTGCCTGCGCCAGAACGCGCGGTTTCCTGCTCGGATTGCGATTCTGGGCGCACCTGCGCCAGTGACCGCGGAATCGCACTCAGATTGCAATTCTGGGCGCACTCGCCAGTCACCGCGGAATCGCACTCAGATTGCGATTCTGAGCACGCAGCGTTTGAAGTAAATCGCGCAGAAACGAATCAACTCCTGTGCTGGGCGCGACAGCGCTCAGGAAGACTGCTTTGCTCAGATGAGCGCAGTCTGGACGCGCCAGTGCCGCAATGGCCTCGGCAGCGAAAGCTGCGAGCGATCTGCTTCGAATGCGCCTGGATTTGCTGGCAATGACCCCCCCGCAGCGAGAGCTGCCAACGAAGAGAAAATGCTTTGCAGAGGCCTTGGCGTTGCTTGCAGTGACCGCTGCCAACGAAGAGGGGCTTGCTTGCAGAGGCCCTGGGGTTTGCTTGCAGTGACCCCGCAGCTGTGGGCGTGAACTGGAATAAATAAAGATGTCGGAGCACACGCCGCGTGCCCGCGGATTGATGTGGGTGCAGCCGCAGATGCAAATACTGAGCGGAGATGCTCGGTCGATGGTGGGGTTTCCCTGTTGTCTGTGCTGCCGCGCCCCTATGACGCCCTCTGCTGGCCTGGATGGCGCATTCAGGTCGCAGAGGGGGATAGGGGGCGGAAGGGTTCTTCTGCTCTTTCCTTAAACAGCAACTCGCTTCCAGCGCCGGTCACGTTACACACCAAGCAAGGTAAGTGTGTCAAAGGAACCATTGTGCATGCACTCTCCGGAACCGTTTGGGCTCCTAGTGACACCACTGTTGCCGTGCATTCTCTGCCACAGCGCGCATCCCTGCCCGCCCTTTTCGTCGCGAGGCGAATATGTCTTTCCAGCAGACTGAGTTCGAAGCCATGGCTGCGTCAGCGCCTGTGGGTTCTTTCCTGGGAGCCTCACAGTCCAAGATTGCACAGTGGATCGAGTTCGTGACGACAGCAGATGAGACCCCTCGAGACCAGCACCCTCTGATCTTCTACGCGTTCGCGGCCCGGGTCTTGGCGCAGACCATGGGGTCCACAACTCCAGTGGACTACGCCGACTCGCACATGAGGTCGCTCATTGTGGATATGATCAAGCCGGGCGCCACTCCCTTCGAGAGCGACGGCGACGCCGGACCCTGGCAAGACGAGGTGCTTCTCCCTGCACACCTCACTCTGTGTCTCCGCGTCCAAGCGAACGCTCAGAAAGCCCGGGATTTGTCAGCCGGGTCGTCCGGCGGGGCCCACGGTGGCGACCACGCGCTGGCGCAGGCCATCGCTTCCCTGACTGCGGCCACGAATACTAAAGAAAAGGAACCCAAGAAAGGCATCCTCAGCTTCGACCTCAAGACGAGGCTCGCCGAAGTGGGCCTGGCAGATTTCGCCCGCGAGCTGTTGCCTTCGGAAGAATCGCTCATTCGAGTGGAAGGCATGGGCAAGAGCTCCAAAGACAAGGGCCGCCACTTTGTGGGGGCGTCTGATGGCGAAGACCTTATGTTGAACTTTCGTCCAACATGGTCTCGCACGCCCAAAATCGACGTCTTTGTGGGCGAAGGCTCGCTGGAAGACAAGATGAAAGCGGTTCTGGATGTGAAGCGAGCGAGGTCGGCTGAAGACCGGGTGGGCTTCACCAGCTTCCCCAATTTCATCGGCCACGTCATGGACTGGGGAACCAAAATGATCATAATGAAAGTGTTTTCTATGAAGGAGCTCATGGCTTACGTCATGAACCTCACCCGGATCTCAGAAGAGCTGGGAGGAGTGCGAGTCGCATACCAATACGACCTTGTTTTGCGTCAGCGCATGGCTCAGGCGCTGGAGCGCGGAGAAACCACTGAGGTCCATGACTTTCTCCTCCGCGTGCACAAGGACGAGCTTGGCGACGCCAAGAGTAACTTGGAGCAGCGGACGAAAGAGACTAACCGGGCCACTTCCGGAAAAGCCGGGGGGAAATCCGGCAAGGGCACTCCCCAGAGCAGCGCTGCCAAGCCGACCTGGGGCGGTGGCCCAAGAGCCGCTCCCTCATCGCCTCCCTACACGGGCCGGTCTCGCAGCCCCAGGGGCAGCAAGGGCAAGGACAAAAACGGAAAGGGCGGCAATGGCAAAGGTGGCAAGGGCGGAAAGAAATGGTGACAGACGTCACCTTCAGACGCAGCGTCCTCTGACGAGGACGACAGCGGTGCGGATGCACCATGCGAAAGCGACTCCTCGTTCGCTTTTGGTTTCACCAATGACTTTATGGAGTTGCGGCGCGAAGTCGACCGCTTCCTGTCCGACAAAGCTCGCATACGCAGTATGTCTGCTTGGGATCATTTGAATTGGGCTTCAACGCTTCCTGCCTTATCCGAAGCAATTCGGTTGCCCGAAGAGCAGGAGGCCGCTCTTAGGCTCCAGTCCGGGGAGCCTCACCGCGCCCATCAGCTTCGGAAAGATGCGTATTTGCATTGGCGGGAAAGGAAACGAGTGACGGAACCAGCTTGGCTGCGTCTCCGTGGGTCGCTAGACCCACATGTGCAGCGAGTGCTTGGTCCTGAAAAGAACCTTCTCCTGTTCAAAGAGATGCTCTGCGCGAGCGGCAGTCCAGACATTCATTTGCCGCATCACCTTGCCCACGGTTTCCCGCTCTTGGGTACCATCCGTCCGAGCGGAACCTTGCCGCTGAAGCAAACTCAGGCCCCGGCGCTCACTCGCGACGAGTTGATCGGCGAGGCGCCGGCCATCAACGCGAGCACCATGGAGCGCGTGAAGGGCGAGCAGACTGCGGCGTCTTCTCTGCGACAGTCTCTTCTGGAGAAGACAGAGGACGAAGTCCGGGCAGGTAAAGCGCATTGGATTGAACTGGCGAACTTGCCGGTTAGCGCCGTTCTCACTCCCCGTTTCCCTGCTGACGAGGGGTGGAGGCGCCGGCAGGGCAAGTGGTATCACAAAGCCCGGCCGATTGACGATTTCAAAGCATCTAGAATAAATGCAGCCACAGCTTCTTGCGAGAGAATTCGCCATGATTCTTTAGACGTGCTTTTAGGCGCGGCCCAAACTTTGTGGAACAACCGGAAGGTGTCCACCATGTGCCGCCTTCGTCTCCGGAAGGATGACGTGTCCGGCGCTTTTAAGACATTACCGCTGCGGCGTGAGGATTTGCCTTTCGCCATTGCGGTTCTTGGCGAAAGCGCTAAGGAGGGGAAGGCGCTGCAACTCTTCACTTGCCCGTTCGGTGCTGAGTCCAGCGTGCACGCCTGGCATCGCGTAGGCGATGCGTTGCAACGTATTTTGCTGCGCTTGTTTGCAATAGTTAACCCTAGATTCGTGGACGACTTTTTCGGGGTAGACGAAGATCCACCCGATCTCCACGAAGACGCTTGGAGCGTGCATCCTTCCGCCATCGCTGACACCTGCAGGTGGGTAATTCAAGACTTGCTCGGCTGGCAGCTTGACGAAGAGAAAGCCGTCACAGATGCAAGCAAGGCTGTAGTCTTGGGCGTTTCAGTGTGCTTCGAAGAAGCGGAAGGCGTCGCAGTCTTCGAGATACCCGTCGAGAAAATAGAGAAGTGGCAAATTCATATTGCGGAGATTTTAAGGCAGGGAAGTTTGAGCCCTGCGTCGGCTCGTAAGCTGGCCGGCAAGTTGAGTTGGGGCGCCACGGTAGTGTTTCAGAGAAGTGCCAGGGTCTTCCTGGTGCCAATTTTTCAGCATGCGTGCGGCAACACTTCCCGCATTAGCAACAGGTTGCGCCGAGCACTCGCTTGGTGGAGTAGATTTTTGGCCAGTCAGCCTTCCCGCCGGGTGCCACTTGGCCCGCGGATTCTCGACAGGTTGATTCTGTACACTGACGCTACAGGTTCTGGGGCTCTCGCGTGGGTGGCGATTCTCGGCAATTTGCGAGAATTCGCTCGGGCGCAAGTCCCGCCGGCTCTCCGCCGGTGGGCTCTCCCACGCACGCAACAAATCGGCACGTGGGAGTTGCTTGCAGCAGTCTGTGCTTTATGGCAGCTTTTCGACAAAGTCCGTGCTCCTGTCGAAATCTTGCTGTTTGTAGATAACACTGCTGCTCATGGCACAATTGTGCGCGGATCGTCGCGCCAGGAAGACTGGAACCACCTCGTCAGTGAAATCTGGTTCCAGCCAGCGTCGGTGGGCAATTGCTTCAGTGCTTGGTGGGTGCCGTCGCATTTAAACATCGCAGACGCACCTTCCAGGATCCCTGCGCCGGAGATCGTAACATGCTTGACGGCGCAAGGTTTTCAAGAGATCGATTTTCAGTGGCCGTGCCATTTGGCATGGTTGCCTCGTCTGGATGTCGTTTGCTAGCAGCGACAAAAAGAGATTGGCCCGCGTGGACCCCAAACAGTACATTTTCACACGGAAGCAGCCAGTGCCCAGAGCTTACTGGTGTGATGCTGTGGAAAGGCAAGCAACGTACGTTGTGATATGACTGCGCCGCACATTGATGCGGTTTTCTGCTTGCGCAAACTCAGCCGTAGCATTTTGGTTCGAAATGCTTGACTTCCTCAGGACACACCGCCAGGCTGTCGAAGCGGCCGAGCGCCAGCAGCGCGCATTCCACGATGTTCCTCCCGGGCCGGAGGCCTCGTGCGTGTACGTGCCGCCGAGAGCAAAGACCCGGGCAGCTCCGGGGTACGTTCCGCCTCGGTCAAAAGCAAAGGCGTCGCGCCCGACAGAGAGCGTCGACTCTCGCGTGCGCGCCTGGGTTCAAACAGCGCTGGCAATGACGGCGCCGCAAGACCATCCACCAGGGTCTCTGCCCGACCTCGTGCTAGAGCTGCGATCAGCTGGAATCACGGGCCCTTGGGATCTGCAAGGTTTGGGCCGTGACGAGATCGGACGAGTATTCCCGATCTTGGGATCGTTCCCTGCTTCCTTTGTCAGTAGCCTGCAGCAAGCACGTCTCCACGCAGGAGCTCAACAGCAAGTGCCGGCCATCGCTGGGCCTGCTGCTCATGCAATTGGCGTTGCGCGTCTTGACGTGTCCACAGCCGGCGCCGCCCGAGCTGCTCTGCGAATCCTGGCGATCGCGCGTCGAGACGGCCAGCTGTTGGCGCCGGAGCTCCTTGCCGAGGCAATCGTGGCGCTCTCCAAGGTGCCGGCCGCGAATCTGCAGACGCTGCAGCACGGCGACCACGATGAGATGCCGGAGCGGCCAGCAGATCGGGCATCTTGGCTTCAGGGCCACGACTGTCGGGACACATCTTGGCCTATCCAAGAGCTTGTGGTGCGCGAGCTCCAGAGCTGGCACCGCAGTGCGCTGAAATACGTTTCCCCGGTAAGGCTGTGGGGCCGCGTGGCTGCTGGCGTGCGGCAAGCGCCGTGGCCGCCAACAGAAGCCGTTCTGGGCGCTTTCGCGTTCACAGTGCAGAACGGCAACACACTCATCAAGTACGTCTCCCAGATCCGCTCCGTGCTGCGGCTCGTGCGTGCTCCGTTAGGAGCAATTTCCGATACGGCTGCCTTGGCTCGGGGAGCGGGAAAAAGCGCAGAACCTCGGTTTAAGGCCAGGGCATCCGCGAGGCAGACACGGGACCTGGCCCGATACATTTGCAATGAATTAGGGGAGCGCGTCATTGCGGACAGCTTTGTAGTCGCACGGCATTTTTGCTTGCGCTATGGTTCGGAAGTTTTGCCGCTTTCGTGGAAATCCGACCATTCTTGTATAGAGATTGCCACCAAAGATGGGGTGGCAAAAGCTACAGTGCACCTCCACAAGCGCAAGAGTTGCCGAGGATCAATCGCAGTTGTTCGAAGGTGTATATGTGCGCAGCAAACGCGAGAACTGTGCGGCGTATGCATTTTGAAAAAATGCTCATCGCAGCCCTTGGTTTTCCCTGGCGCCAGCTACGGCGCAGCTCTGGCAACGCTCAAGGTGGCAGCCATTGCTCTCGATTTCCCCAAAGCTGCTCTTTGGGGCACGCACGCTTTTCGGCGAGGCTGGGCCGACGAAGCTTTAGCGCACGGCGGCGTCCCTGCCTTGTTCTTCAGCGGAGGCTGGAGAGGCGTGGCTGCGTTCGATATTTCTGCGCAGGCTGTGGGGGGTGCAGGCGGCCGAATGGCTTGTGGAGCGGAGGCTTCATATGCCGAATGCTAGTGAATCTAGTGGCAGCGAGTGAAAAACATATCATCCGCTCTGCTCTGCTCTGCCCTGCCGGGCTGCCGCCAACCCCATCGTACAAGGCCCTTGCGGGCCGGCGTGTGGCCGAAGGGCGCGCCCTTTCCCCCTCTCGGCAAACTTTGGGGTCGTCTCCGAGGTTCCCGTCTCCACATGGGGGAGGGGCCAGAGAAGGGCCGACAGGAGCCTCGACACTGGGGCGAGCTACAGCAGTGGCTCTGTCTGCCCGAACCGACGCGCCCTGTGTCTGGCCCACTGTTGGCGCGACGACGCACGGGGCGAAGGCGAGGGCTAGGAGAATCCTCATGTACCATGGGCCCTTGTCGATTGGCAGGAGGATTCTAAAGGTCTTCGCCGCAAGGTAGATTCTGGCGATTCCCTCCTCAGCCTCTCGTCGTCGTCGTGTCGTGCTAGTGTGGTTGCCGTGTGCGGTGCCGTCTGCGCCGTGCTGTGCCTGTGGTGCCGTGCTCATCAGTGCCGTGCGCTGTGAGCGTCGTCTGCCGTGCAGTGTGCCGTGCTGTCTGCCGTGCCGGCAGTCGTGGCGTGCCGTGCCGCGTGGCCGCCCGCGTCCGGGGCGGGGTACCAAGTACCGGCGGCTGAATTGCCCAGGCGGGCTGGCTGCGTCCTGTCGGGCGCAAGGAGGAGACGCTTGCAGCGTGCTCTGGCCCTGTCGGGCCCTTCACGTCCTGTCGGGCGTCGTGCGCTGCGTTGCAGCACGTGAAACCCGCCCTCCCTCCCTTGTGCGTCGTGTGTCGGTTGGGGGGACGGGCCACAGAGAGCTCGGGGGCGAGCTACAGCAGTGGCTCTG